ATTATAGTACTATATAATTTGGAATAATTTGGAGTTTCGGATTTCATGTAGAATACAATCTGAAGTGTACAACGACATACCCTAAACATTTTTATAATAAGTTATTATTATTGAACGCCAATCAATTATTATTATTATGTAAACGCGTTTATTATTGAACGCCGGGGCATAATGTTTGATTTTTTTCGAAATTGAAAATTTGAATAAAAACCGCCAGAAAACACAATTTTTAATATCAACAGTCAAGACATAAGCTTGCGAAATGTTTCCATAGACTCGTACGACTGCGATGTTAGAGTTTTCAAAAACGTGTTATATTCCCATTGCCTATACTTACTTATATTTTACATTTGTAGCAGAAAAAAAATTAAAATACGGCTGTTAACTTCGAGCCTGGTGGTCTTAAACTGTCACCAAAACGTACGAGTACATAATAATAATACATACCGAGAGATTTGACTAAAACTATCGGAGACACACTCTTCGTAGTTGTCGAAACAAAAAACACATCGAATGAGGACACCCAACTGTACGTATCTATTATGTAGACAAGATTTTATTTTTCGATTTGACTGCTATAGATTACGGTGGAGTATATTAAATGTATACATTTTTTTTTTTTTTTTGTACAAACAATTAAAAGAAGAAACAAATAAAGAATGCTAAAACGACGATAATAATACCTTACAGACAACATGCAAGTTCGTGTGTATAATATTACATACATAGCCATACGGGTATAGGTATTTAATGTTGAGAAGAAGTTTTCAAAAAAAAAAATATCGAAAACTAGTTTCATTCGTTGGGTGTGTGTTTTTTCTGTCAACATGTTTTATTCATTGTGAAACTATTGGTAAATAGAACGAATAACCTATTAATTTGTAGCCCTGGTGTAAATGTCATGGCGCGTCTACGTACTTATATAGGTACACAATTACATTTTTCGATACCGGTTCTGGTTTCGGGGTTCATCTCTTCTTTTGTTTCTTTTTTTCCGTACAACGTTTGTTTTCCGCGAGCAAGAAAAAAAAAAACAAAACAAAACAATTATTTTGTATCTATTACATGAAATTAGGATTGGGAATTCCATTGCCAAGATAGATAAAAACAAAAAAAATAAAAATAATATGGACAATAAGAACCAGCTGGAAGAGTGCATCGCGTATATTTATCAATCGTTTATTGTATTATTATTTATGAGGGCAGTAGAAAAAGAGCGGCAGTGAACAACACGATGGCATTATTCCATTTTATCTACGGACCATAAATTTAAAAACTAAAATAAATAAAAAGAAAAAAAAAATTACCAAGAGTTAATATAATGTGCGACAGTGTGCCATTTGTTCAGTGCGTGCCATAATAATAATGCACTGAAGAAATTAAAATTAAATTAAATTTACTACATTTTTACAATATCACTGCAGTCTTCTAAGCTAATATAAGTTGAAATGACATTCAAGAGAAAAAATTGTTCGCTACTTCCCCTCCCCCCGCGGAATTGACCCGAAGACGTTCTTAAAAAAAAACTTATAAATAAGTAAAATAAAAATAGCTCGTGTAATATACGCAGGTAAATTTGGCGCAGATGGGCTGTACCGTACCCAAAACGATTACCTTTTTTTCTGTCACAAATTGATCATTTGAATGCACGTGATAACGTATGCCTGATACGTGGTTATACAATTAGAACCGACGAATAGGTACGACACGTGTTTATATTGAAGAACGATGTACTGATATTTCTGAAAAAAAACAACGGAAAACACGAGTATTTTTTTTTTTTTTTTTCGTGAATAATAATTGGGCCGCCATATTTTATTGCTTCGCCGCCGCAATCTCGTTCTTTTATTATATGGTTATTATATACATACATACCTAGTAAAGTTATGGTAAGTATACCTAATAATAATAATAATAATATATATTATACAGTTTTTTTTTTTTTTTTTTATAAATTATTTTACACAAAGCGGAGTTGTTGGGACCGGACATCGAAGCCTGTACTGTAATATAACATGTCGGCGGTCTAAACGGGTTACCGACAAAAGGGGCCGAATTCCATGCGTGTGCCCCCCGAACAACAATAGTATAATAATAAAACCGAGTGATGTGTTTCGGAAATAGCGGTGGTTTATTATTATTTTATTTTTATTTTTTCGTTCGCGTTGCAACGATATTATATACGGTCCAGTAAATATTATGTACAGCATGTAATGCAGAAACTGGTTCCGAAGACAAAAAAAAAAAAAACGAAATCCGCAACGGGCGGTGTGCCGAGAAGACGAAATTATGTCAGCCGAAAATAGCGTTTTTGACTCAGAGGGGTGGGACCGGCGGGGGGTTCTGTTGCACATAAAATGTTTTATTATGATGAGCAAATAATAACAATGAAAAAATCAGCAAAGAAAAGGTCCCCGTCTCGTCGTTTCGAGCGGAAAACAGAACACAATCCTAGTGAACACTAATTATGTATGGTTGGTACCGACTTAAAAATCTATATAATTTTAGTACTTATTCGTTTTGGCGTGGCTAAGCTCCAATCATCGAGCTGTTGTCATCGTCTCGCCGAGTGACACGACAAAGAACGACTTAAAAGTTAAAATTTAATTATGAAAACGGTTAATGTATCCGTTTTTAGTAGAACATTCATTAGTTCGACAATGTCGGCAATTCGATTTTGATAATTTCCGGTTCCCTGGCAATTTCGCGGTGTTTAATGTTTTTGTTTTTAAAATATTAATTAATTATAAAAAATATATACGCACCCGAAAGATTCCTATAATGAATTAAAAATGAATTATTTAAAACGTCTGAAGCCCTTCATTCCAAAGTATTCTGTTTCCAGATTTTGGGGAGCAATCTATACGAGCGGCCAGCTCACTAGCAAGTAGCAACTTAAATAATATGCTTCAATATTAAATAACTAACCAAACAGTTACTTTTCCAAATTGCTTAAAGAAATAAAATATTTTTCATTGCGAACAAAAACAGATATTTTTTTTACTATGTGTTTTTTACTATCTGTGTTTTGAATGCGTTTAAAATGGTTAAATTCTGAAATATCCAGCAATTTAAAATGACCGCAAATGTCCGTGTTAATTTTTGGGAAATATCGAAATGATTAATTTTTAAAAAGGTGTGTAATGACGTGATCTATTCATTCCTTTTCAGTATTACTTAGACAGTTTTTGTGCCTTCTGTAAAATTTGATTTTAGGGACGTGTTCTCTTTCTGAAATTAGTGGTTCATATTTTCTCTTAGAAGACTACAAACTTTATTTGATCTTTACTAAAACTAAACGTATAATAAGTGATAAGGGAAATAAGGAAGTCATAAAATAACAGGTAATAAGTAGTCTAGCTTAACAAAAACCAGATAAAACAAATCCCGACTTTGAATCTTCGGTAACCGATTGTAAGCTAATATTTTACCACAGCCCAGCACAAATGTATAATTGTATTAGGCTATTTTGTTTTTAATTATTACCGTGTTTCTTAATTCATTCCTATACACATTGTTGTGTTGCGACATTTTTTTTCAATAACGTCTGCAAAAATCGTGAACAGTTGGACTCTGGCTATCGCACGAAGATAAAAACCGCCGAATTACATTTTTGTAATCTGCCACGACTTAAACTAAATCGATAACGAAATTAAGCGTTAAAAGGTTTTAAGTGTGTTACGTTAAACAATACTGTCGAAACACCATCTCGTTATCATGCCGCGTGTTTAGACAATGTATAGTAGTATTGTGTACAAACCGCTACTTCATTACAGGCCCGAGTCACGAGTGGAAGGGATTTTCCCCCTGAATCTTATCTATACCCATCCTCTCCTTTAGCCCTTCAAAACTGACATCATTTAAAGTTACATTTGAAATTACAGCTGCAGTTGAAGTATTTGAACGTTACTCGGCAGTTTGCGAACGAAACATTTGAATGTACACAAAAGCAATCGGTGAAACGCAATCGCAACTCCGGAGTGTCCGTTCCAATTCTTTATCGGAACCGACCGAAAACATAAATATACTTATAGAACAATTAATAATAATTGAACGGATTTCAACAATAAAAAAAAAAAAAAAATAACACAAAACTAATAATAATTTTTTAAAATATAAATTTAAAAAATAGCCACAATATCGGTTCGGATTTATTTTTATTTTTAATTATTCCCCTTCGCTAAAACTCGGTTCGACTCATCCGGAGACTTGGTCCGCGAGAGCCTGTTTCGTTTAGCCATCATCTCAACGTGCTTTGACCGAACGTTTCGACATTTTTGACTACAGTCACGCAATATTATATTATTACGACGACGAAGACGACATGCAGAGTTTGATATCGTTTCTGTGATGCCGCGTATTATTATAATATCCGCAGAATCATATTTTACGTCAGCGAACAAAACCACGCCGCCGCCGGGGTACATAATAATAATAATAATAATAATAATATTTTACGATCTCCTTTGATCTCCGGATCACATTGTGGACCGGATGTAATCCCGTCGCCGGCCAGGTCCCGGCGAAACAGAATCGGAGATTCGCAAAAACGCGCTCGCCGAAATCCTTTTGGCGAACGGAGACAATGTGAATTTCGTCCGCGCGTTCGTCTGCAGTTTTTTGTGCGAACACAATATTGTGCACACTCGAGTATGCATGGACATACATACATATATATATATATATTTTTTTTTTTGCTTTTTGTTCCAACCCGTCGCCGAGAGAGGGGAGGGCCAATATTGTACTCGGGTTTATTTTGGTGACGTATTTTTTTTTATTTTTTTTTCCGCGGTCCATAATCCTGTTACTCGCCGGGCAACCGTACGAACCCGTTGTCGTACGTAATATTATTGCCTATATCTACACGAAATCCGTGCGCGCAGAATGGAACAATAATAATAATAATTATTATTATTATTATTATTTCCGGTTAGTGCATTTTTCGCGTACACCACTGCACTGGGTTATATTATGCGTAATACTCGTCACGCGAATAATACCGGAAAAAAAAAAATAAAAAAAAAATACGTACACGTGTGCACACACATATGTATATTTATATGCGTGCGTATATGAGGTACCTACCGCCTATATAATATTAAACTTACCCTCGACCAGTTCGGTTTCTTATACGATATTATATTATGACGATAACAACACAACGCGATAATAGAATGCGAATTTTTTTTATTATTATTATTATTTTTTTTTTCCAAGCTGCCAGGGAACACGCCCGCGGTGACGTCGTCGTCGTCATGAGAATGTTCGTTGCGCCATTTTTTTTTTTTTTTTTTTTCATATTTAACAATATAATAATAATAATAATAATAATAATAATAATATTATTATTATTATTATTATTGTGAACCGTTTTCATAATAATATAACCTAACCCATTTCGAATAATGGTTTTTATTATTATTATTATTATTATTTTTTTTTAAATGCAATAATTCGTACACGTTATAATATTATACACCTACCTGTGTCCTACACAATATTGTATAATACGATATCATAATCATTATTTATGAATATCATTATATTATTATGCTGTAACGCACGAACAAACGCGTGTATTATCAATCATAATATACTATGCACATTACTCGGCCGTCGCGAAAATTATAACATTAGATATAATTATTCGGGTGTAATATTTGACTGGAAAATAATTTTTAAAAAAAAAAATCGTTTTAAACGGCATAGTGTTCATAAGAATTTTCAAACTCGTAGAAATCGTAGAAAACGAAAGACCATATACTGTGACAAAAGTTTCAGCCACCAAAAGTATTCTAAAAATCTATTTTACAAAATGGCTATTTTGAATATTTGTTTAATAAATTATACAGTTACCGTAATTATTAGAAAAAGTCAGAAAAACAATATGGGAAAAACGGATAAAAATGATTATTCCGACCATTCATATTTGTCTTGGACGGCCGAAAGGCTTTTTGCTCATTTAAAATCCACTTTATGACTTTCTCGATTGTTCTCCGCCGTTTCTTGCCCAGCTCAGTCTTTTACTTTTCAGTATTGCCGCTATTTCAGTTTCTTCGAGTAGGTATGTCCCTTAATTTTCGGTTAGTCCACCATCATTCGTACTCTCACGTGTTTCGATTCCTTTTAGGGTCGATTTTTTACTCACTCGTTCCGCTTATGGATATCCCGTACAATCACGTATTATAATAACAGCAGTATTACGTCCGTCAAAATCGGTAAATGACGTAAACCAATTTGCAACGCACAAAACTCATATGAATAATACTGAATACTGATACACGCAGTTAAACGTGGCGGTATCGAAATTCAAATGTTCCCGGTGTAGAAAATATACGCCTTATTGTATGGATCCGAGCGGAACAATAACGGCTGTTTTGAATATAAATGATTTTTCACGGCGAACACGCTATATTATGTATTACGTTTCAACGATTTACATTTCCAGGGGTACAGCGATCCGAAAGAAAAAAAAAAAAAACGGCTATAAGCAACAATACTTTTATTTCACATGCGATTTCTTTTTACGATAATCTTGCAATAGTTGGGCTCGGACTCGTCTTCGAATGGAAGTGGCCGGGGAGGGAGAGGTGGCGGCGGGCGACAGTCGAGTTTTTATATCTGGACGATTTCCGTTTCGCGGAAAGAGTAAAAAATATTATTCCGACGCATACAGTCGACGGTACCTAATATGCGAGAAAAAAAAAAAACCATCAAACCCGTAGGCAAACGAAACGCGTCCGATCGTGTAGTGTGGTGTATCGGGCAGGCGGCTTTGCGGTTTAATACTTATAATAATAATATTATATTATTATATTTTCGGTCGTGGAACACAATCGTTAAAAAAAAATAAAAACGAAAACGGGTTTGTGACAAAAAAAAAAATTATTACGTGTAAATATTATACGCGTACGGTTCGCGTATACATAGCGGTTTTATCCCCTTTGCGTTTTATTTTTTACTATTATTATTATATACGCGCGTATATATAATAAAAACGAGATGATTTTTTTTTTCTCCAGTTGCTCCGCATATAGTATTATAATACGTACCTACACGGTACCATGTCGGAGTGAGGCCTGCGGATCCGACCGTTTAGTCGGTCGTGAAAATTCATATCGGCGACGTCGTCGTCATCGGTGTCGCGGGCGATAAAGGGCGACTTTTACGACGGCATCCGTTGCGTTTACGACGGCAAACACCGTCGAAACGGTGCAAGTCTCGAAAAAAAAAAAAAACGTAATAATAATATATTATAATACATGATGGAAATTCAAATGGAAATTCTCAAAAGCCGACGTACCTCGGCTAACCATGGCCGCACTGTCGAAGCCGGGAAGTTTTTGTGGTGTGTGATATAAAATATTAGTAAACATAATAATATAATACACATACATATATATATATACCTATCGGTGGTACAACACGATAATATAGTTTATATCCGAGCGCAATGACGAATCATTGCGAACATAAAACGATTCTAAGCGAAGTCCGGTCAATCGTATTTCGATAAACTTTAATAAGGTTAAGTGGGGTAGGTGTGACATGAAAATGCAGAGTTCATTTTGAATTGAGCAATACTATTTGTGTTTTTAACTTATAATTTGTATTATTCGATAATGCTGTAGCTGTAAATATACATAATTGGAATTCATAGTTAAAAGAGGTAGATATATTATCACTCATCTAAGAATAATTTTTTTTTTTTAAAAAAAAAAAATTGAAATCGTCACTCTTGCCCCCGTTCATGGGGCAAGTGCAAAATCGAATTGTTTTACTCATTAGTATTACGTGTATATAATGATATATGGGACAAGTGAATTATAAAACTAAAAAAAAGCTTTAATTTGATTTTCGTTTCATTAAAATATCTTGATTCATTAAGAATTGACAGAGCATTATTCAAATTCGACTGCTTGCCAATATCAAACAGATTAAGTACATAATACGAACAAAATAGTTTTTATCAATGACGTCAATGTTACACTCACCCCGTGTTACGATTTTACTCTTGCTCCGATGTGAATTTTAACCGGGGAAAGTGTATAATCGAAAAAACAAGGTACAAATATGATAAACAGACTTGTGAATCTTAAAGTAAACATAATATAAAGTATTCTTATCTTTCCGGGAGTGCAAAATTCAACATTTATATGGGCGAAAAAAAAAACAAATTGAAATACGTTTATTTTGAAAAATACGACATGCTTTTGCGGAAAAAATATATTTTGTGATAACATCATGATAAATGTTAGTACAGTACTGCCAATTATATTGAAATATGCAATGCAACAATCGTTTTAAAAATGTCTAGTTTTAATATTAACATATTAAATATTGATCATGATAACATCCGGTTTCACACTTACCCCGTTTATCCACTTGCCTTACTTAGCCTTTATTGTATTAATAATTTCTGACTACCTATACAAACAGATCGCTGTTATCAATCGCAGTACTTTTTTTTTCGAAATGGTCGAATTGGTCGACCGTAGTGGGTACCTTAACTAATAACTTTATTATTTTTAATTTTTGCAAACTATGTTTTCTACCAGATATATTGCTCCAATCAAGACGATTTTTCACATTTAAATGTACAATTTCACTTGCGCGATCGCGTCCGCGATTAACGAACGCGATCGACGAACTAAGATCGCGTTCGCGGTGTCTTCGTTTATTATAGATTATTCTACGTTGCGATCCAGAGATTTATATAATTTATATTTCATAGTGAAATATGAATATATTATAATATACATAATTTAGCATTCAATTGAATGCTCAATACTTTGAAGCGCCAAGTCCACGCGTATAGATCGCTTAAAAAAATTATTGGTATGGATATGTTAGATACAGAAATCTTGAAAATTCTTTTACAAGAAGAATACTTGAAACCAAGTTCGGGGAATTTTTAAAAAAACCGCGATCGGTCCGATTTTATTTTGAATCTAATAAGAGACGATTTACCATCGTCTTCGACTTTATTAAACTTGTGCCGTTGCAGAACTCGAGTTTACCTTTGAATGACCGATGTCAACGAGTGGTCGATCACAAACGAGTATCATATCACTGCATATTAATTGACATAACGCGGCTTATGTCAATGTGGACTTCCACACTGCTCAGTTATAAAATAATAATTATAGACAACTATATTTTTGTTCTTTATAGATTTAAATTTAAATTTCAGTCATTCAGTACATAATTAAATACAATCAGTTATTTTCAAAACAACAAGTCGATCGCGGTGCGAACAAATTTACATCGCCGACCGCGATCGTGCAAGTAAAACCATTTGTATATTTTAATTTACATTGTATCGGAGGTCGCGCGATCTTAGATCGCGGGTCGCATTCGCGATCGCGCAAAGTAAAACGTACCTTAACATAAGGCACATTATAAGTAATACTCAGTGGTATAAAAAATAAATTTAAAACTAATGCGTTAGTTTTTTTTCATAAACGTATTTTACAATACATTTTTACGGAAATCGTACAAATTACGGCACTTCAAAATATGTCTTACCGGACTTCGCTCCAAATCATTTTTCGTTAGCCATGGTTTATCATTGTCTATATGGCTATATATGTTCTAAGTAAATTAAATATCACTATTTTCAAATTAACAAGGTATACAAATTAGAAAAAAAAAAGGAACGAGTTTGTGAACCAGTAATTGTGTAGCCAATTTCTAAAAGAAACTTTCTCAACACTGGATATATTAGCTATCCAAATAGAGGTACCGACCTAGTTTGAAATATGACACGAAACAATATTGATAACTCAGTTATCGATATTATCAATTTTTTAGGCCATTTCTTTTCCTATTTTTAGACTATTTTTTCCCGTTTTAATGCATGCATTTAAGGGATTTTTAACAATGTTTTTTTAAAATATTGCATCTCACTTGCATAGTTTTTTGAAATTTCAAATAAATTTCTTAATGCAGTTTTTGAATTTTAGATATGCGAATATTTAGGATTTCAAATAAATATTTTATGATTATTACTAGTGAGCAGTGATGCCTTAATTAAATGTAAGAATAACTGAACAATATATAATTAAAGTAATATCGTACAGTACTCGTTCGAGCTAAACACGCTTATATTAACTAAATATATATTTTAATGACAGAAAATTACACTCGGAGAACAAATAACTCGTTTCGGTTTAAAAAACATGTGCTGTTGATGAAAAAAAAACACTAGTCGAAATCTAATGAAGATTATAATATGAAGAACATT